TGGAATGACTGCCTTTGAGGGAGAAGGGGAGAGAGTGACTTTTCCAGGCTTTATGGTGTTTGAGGAGCAGCATTTCTGGATTTTGGATTTTATGATTCACTTTGGAGGACGAAGAGGGACCAGAAGGTCAGAACGACCTTGGTTTTGAGGTCTTCCTGCCTTCCTCGGGTCAAGGTTCTTGACACACCAAGTCCCGTACTTTAGGATCTTGCATCCTGAGCCCCGATAGGGCACAGGGCACAAAGACAGCCTTCGAGGGTCTGGCTTGCGTGGGGGCAAAGGCTGGTGCCATCCATGGGGTTGGAAACGGAGGGAGAACCAGGCGGGTGCCATGCGATCTTGAGTTGGCTTTGGGTACCTTGAGTTTGAAGACCCCCAGTAGGCTGTTGGCATGAACCAGCCTGGAGCTGTGAAATCAACTTAAAATGTGAATCTAGGCATCAGCCATGTCCAGATGGTAGTGGGCCCTTAGCAGAGAATTAGACCACCCAGGACAGCAAAGGGAAAACCAAGAGCACCCAGGAGGACCTGAGAAGTGGCCGCAGCTGAGGCTCGTGTCCCCATCACGCCCAGCTCTGCTGCATGGTCACAGGGCCTCTTCCTCTTCCGATGCCCCAGCGTCTCCCCGCCTCCCCCTTTTATCGTAAAGATGCGTGCGACAACATTAGCACACACAGTCTCCAGGATGATCTCCACATCCCAAGCCCTTTGATGCCCTTGTGGCTCTTTTCCCTGGTATTGACAGGCTCTGGGGAAGGAAGACGTGGACGTGTTTGGGGGCACGGTCACCCTTCCACAGCTCCCTGGACCTAAAATTATACAGAGAACAACATAGGAGCCTCCATGGGCCAGGCTGCCCACTTAGGGCTCTGCCTGCATCCCCCAGTTCTCTCAGCAAACCCTTCGAGGTGGGTCTCCTGCTGCACTGCCATGCAGAGGGGAAACCCAAGGCGCAGGGGGGTGAGGTCACTCAGGGCCACGACCCACAAGCCTCTCCTCTCTGTGCGCTGCAGTCCTTGAAATCCTCATCCTCTTCAGAGGTGCTGCCTGTGGTCCTGCTGGAGTCCTGTCCGTCTTTCAGGGTCCAGCCTGGAGACAGAGCACAGCCAGACTCCGCATGGGGGCACAGAGTCTATGAGCCATTCTGCAGCTCACTGCCAGCCCCCGTGTGAACAGTCACTGATCATCGCGTTGCCCTTGCTCCTACGAATTGTCGGAGAGACTCCACTTTGGGGGGGATGTGCTTGTCATGAAAGGCGACACCAGCCTTTCTGTCTGTGACCTGTGGACACACCGCTCCCCACCCCATTGCTCTGTGGAGCTGAGTCCCGCTCCATGGGTGCATGGAGCACTCTTCACCAAGAGTGATCCCTTCTCTTGGTGAAGGATGCTGTGCAGCATGAGGGACGCAGCAGCCCCGGCAACGGTGAAACTGCTTGTGTAGAAGCGACGTGGTCCCAGGACCATCATTAGGAGACTGGGAGGAAACACGCATGGCCATGGAGAGGAGGACAGAGGGAAAGGCAGGAGTCACTCTGCGGAGAGGTCGGGGGAACCCCACTTTCTGCTGCGCCTGCTGGGCTGAGCCCAGGGGCACTCCTGAGCAGTTGAGGTGACTCTGCAAGGACTGAGGAGGCTATGGGCAGCTGCAGGTAACAAAACCTCGGTCCACAGCAGGGGTTAACAAACTCTGCTCCTGCAGCCAGGTCCTGCCACCACCTGCTTTTACGCACACACACGCAAAGCAGGTGCGCACATGATACACAGCCACGCCCCTCTATTTTGCATATTGCCGGTGGTAGCTTTCAAGCTGTAAGGTGACAGAGATCCCATGGCCTACAAAGCCTAAAACAGCTTTTCTCCGATTTATTACAGAACAAATCGGCCCGCCTCTGGCTCAAACAAGGGTAACACTTGATTATCTCCCCTAACAAGGTATATTCATTAGGGTTCTCTAGAAGCCAAATCAGTATGAAATATGCATATAGTTAAACGGTGCTTATTAGGTAGACCAGGAGATGGAAAAATCCACAATGGCCATGTGCAAGCTGGAGAGGAGGAGGGTCCAGTAGCCAAGATCAAAGACCTGGAGCTCACTGCAGAGTCACAGTGCAAAGCTCTGCTGGGAGAGTGAAGAACTGGAGACCCATGTCCACAGGCTATGGTGAAGACTAGAGCCCGTCCTTCCTTCTCTTTTTATTCCATTCAGGTTACAAGCCTATTGGTTGATGAAACCTACATCTGGGGTGGGTCTTCCCATCAGTTTGCTGGCCTACCTGTCAGTCATCCACAGACACACCCAGACTTTACTAATATGATACACAGCTCTTACCAAAAACAAGCTGACACATCATGTGAACAGCCATACAAATGCTCCAGGGTTCTGTAGAAGCTCAGCCATGTCCTCCAGGCCCCAGTCTCTGTCTCCTTCCTCAGTAGATCAGCCTTTCATAGAGAAACTGTTCGCTTAAGGCTCCAAACTGGCTATCACAGCTCCAAGACTGACTTCTTCCCACACCATTCTGAGGCAGGAAGAAGGCAGGACTCCTCCTCATCTCATTCTCATTCAGGGATCAAAGTCCTTGCAGGGCCATCCAGTGGAGGCTCCTTACCTCCTGTGGTCTAGACCAGGGGTCAGCAAGTGCTTCTCTAGAGCCAGATAGTAAATATCTCAGGCTTAGCAGGCCACTTAAGGTCCTGCAGCATATTTTCTCTGCATTTGTGTGTATGTGTGTATGTGTGTGTATGTGTGTGTGTGTGTGTGTGCTTTACAACCCTGCAGCAATATCAAATTCATTCTAGGTTCACCAGACACCACTTGCTGACCCCAGTCCAGCTCTTCCCAGGGCCTGCTCTGCAGCATCTCCAGGAAAGGAGGTCCTCCAGAGACAATTGCCGTGTTCCAGGCGGCCGGTGCTGCTGCCAGCGAGACAGGCGGGAATGCGCTTCCCCTGCTGCAGGAGGAAGGTGCTGCTGGAACCGCTGCCCAGGTCCCTGTTCCGTCCTCTCAGCAGAGGAGAAAACGCCTGGCTCTGCGTCCTCCTCTTCATAGCCAGGCTCACAGCGCCCTCTTGTGGCCAGAAAGCGAGTGGAGGGCTGGATCCGGGAACCGGAAGCAGCCTTGTCCCTGCCAGGCTCTCCAAGGCCAGAGAAGGCAGCATCACAGTCCTGGTCACCACCTTGTCCCCAGCTTTTCTCTACGACCTGCGAGGGTCTCCTACCATGAGAGCAGCCACATGCCCATGCAGCCAGGCCCTGCCCTGGGAGAAAAGGACCAGAACCCTGAACTCTGAGGAGGCAGCCATGCCAGGGACAGAGTAGTGGCCACAGGTGGAGACTGACAGCTGAGTCTATACGGGCGCTGAGCAGGGGACTCAGATGCCTGTGACTGACAGGTGTGATCAGGATGTCACTACGAGGGCGTCAGCGCACGGCCTGAAGGATGAGCCACAGTTGCTCCTGGCGGGAGACATGTGCCTCTCCGGTGACTTTGTGCAAGTTCTCCTCCCTTACTCTTTCTTGGTTTTCCTCTCAACTTATTATTATGAAATATCACATACATTAAAAAGCACCACAGAAAACAGTGACCAGTGCGTGTGACCGCTCAGCCACCGGTCCCCATGCAATCCCGCCCTTCCACCATCTGAACTTGGTGTGGGAGACTCCTTCCCACGTGTCTATAACCTCACTCCGCGTGCATGGCTCCCCTAGTGATATCAGGCTGGTTGTGCCCATTTCCAAACCTCCTGTGAACGGTACCATGCCAGTCATAACCCCGCGCTTCGTCATTGTTTCCTTCCACGTGGCTTGAGGAATGTCTGTGCAGACATCTGCAGTTCTGGTGCATTTGGTTTCCACCCTTGCAAGATCCCCCACTGCAGGAACAGCCATTCCTTATCCATTCTCTTAGCAGACTTTTAGGTTGTTTTCCGTTTTTCCTAATCCAACCAATGCTGCAGTGAAGATTCCTGAACACGCATGTACAGGTGCCTCTGGAGCACACACGGAGGGACAGAACTTTTAAATAAATGTGTACCACAAGCCCTACTCACTGTGACAGTTACTCTCTGTTATGGTTTGGGTCTGGACGTCCCCCCAAAGCCTCATGCAGTCATGGGGCAGGCTTCTAGGGCTTATGATTGATTCATGGTCCAATGTTGGAATTATGGGTGTGAGTGCTGCACTTGCCCTGGGGCAGGTAGTTTGCATACAGTGTAAGGGAGGGAAGGAGGCTTGCTCTTCCTGCCAGCTCCTCCCTTTTGCTCTTGTTGCCTTTGCTATCTTCCTCCACCATAAACCGTTGCCCTCTGCCATGTGCCATTCTGCCTTGGAGCTAGCCGAGTATGGACTGAAACCTCCACAAACTGTGAGCTAAGTAAGCCTTTCCTTCCTGAATTTTGTATGTCAGGTATTTGCCTCAGCAATGAGGAAAAAGTAACCAAGACACTCTCCAATCCAGTTTTTCTGATTTCCTCTCTCACTAGAAGGACAGATATCAGAATACACAGGGAGATTCTGTCTCAGTAAGCCAAAAATAAATAAAATAGTTATGGAAAACCATAAAAAAGCCTCTGACATGTCACTGTTCCTTAGGAGACTTTTAGATATTTGTAACCTTTGGGCTGCCATCCCAATTTTAAACATACAGTCAGCCCTTACCCTGCGTGGGGGAAGGGTTTAACAACCCTCTGTAGACACCAAAATCCGTAGATGCTAAAGTGCCTGATATAAAATACCTCTGTATTTGCATATAACATGTGTGAGCCTCCTGTAGACTTTACATCACATCTAGATTACTAATGATATCTAATAAAATGTAAATGCCACATAAATAGTTGTTGGATTGTATTGTTTAATCTGCACATGACTAGTACAGGTGCAAGTTTTTAAAAAATATTTTCTCCCCAGTCGATTGAATCTGTAGATGTGGAATTCATAGCTATGGAGTACCAACTAGATATCTTAGAAAGCAATTCTAAATATAGAAAATGCTGTTGAAATCTGGTTTTATTTTTGCAGAGTCATTTATAAAAGCAAAAAGTTATAAACACTTTAAAATCAACAGTAAGAAACCAAGTTAATGACAAAACAGTCACATGATAGACTAGAATGTAGCATTACAACCATATTTATAATGAGCTTATGGCAATATGGGAGAAAAGTTTATGCCACATTGTTAAATGAAAAAGAAAACTGGGTACAGAATTGAAAACATTGGACCAAGACTGGCAGGTATAACAATGAAGAGAATGGCAGGTGCCATCCTCGAAAAAGAAATACATGAAGCTGTTAAAAAGAAATCACTAACGAACAATAGCGTCATGGGTGACTTTTTCTAATTTTCTGAAATCCCAGATTCTCTATAGTAAAGATTTATCATGAAAAAAGCAGAGTAAAATTTACTTTTAGAAATAAATTTCAAAGTGATCACAAATAACCATGTGCCAAATCTCAGGCACGTGTACATTTCCATCCAGCTGGCGAAAGTCACTTTGCTCACAAATTAAACCTACTCAGAAGCTAAAATATACACCCAACGTGCTTGTGTCTCTGCTCATCAGCTCTGAGAAGGAAAAGATTTAACTGATTGTATGCAGATAGTCAGAAAAACTGATTGTCACAGGATACACGGCAAACGGAAAAGGCTGCGTAAGGAAAACAAACAGGAGAAATTTTTGCCCCACCTTGGACCACATTCTTCTGAAACACACAGTCTCACTTGGAGGGCAGTTAAGTCATTTGGGTTTGATAAGAGCTGAACAGCAAGGACGGACTTCAGCCCCATCGCTGATTTCGCTGCCTCGTTCCCTGCATCAGCGCTGTGCAGCCCTTGGACACAGTCACCGTGACAACAGGTGTCTCGCCTTTGTCCGGCAGTATTTGCCCAGGGGCTCCAATGAGCTCCCTTGTTAGCCAGCTTGTCTGTCTCCTGTGGACTCGGTCTACATCTTACAATAGACCTCAAAGAGAGAGGCAGCTGCATGCATCCGGTAGAAAATAGAAAAGGGCATGGCCAGGTTGACCACAATTATCCAGGGTTCAAAGCCAAAGACGACTTCCTCCAACCCGTTGTCATACTCCGGACGGCAGCCAAAGGCGGGAGGGATCCACAGCTGCAAAGCAAGAGGGACATCTCTCTGGCAAGCAGCAAACACACCCTCCAAGAGGCCCCACTCAGCCAGGACCGCAGGTGCTACCCAGACTCAAGGGCCCCAGCTGCATCTGTTGGCCAATGAGACTGCATAGCATCCCGGTCTCCATAGAAACAATCAGATCCATGCGCCTGCTCTGTCTCTCACCCACCCCTCCTTGCAGTAAATCCCTAATGAACCCTCCCCCTGCCCCAGCACTGGGGATTGAACCCAGGACCTTCACACTGAGCTCTATGCCAGCCCTTTTATAGCTTTTATTTCAAGACAGGATCTCGATAAGTTGCCCAGGCTTCAACTTGTGATCCCTGTGCCTCAGCCTCCCTCAGTGCTGGGATTACAAGCCTGTGACATCCATGTGGAACCTGTCCAGTTCTCTCCAGCCCTGCATCCTCTGCCCAGCCCTAGTATCCTCATCTATAAGATGGCAATGCTAACGCCTCTCAGAGCAAACCTAATCTGAATAAAAGGAGAACTAAATTTGCAAAACCCATAGCCTATTGCTCTGTGCCTCACTGACCCCACACACTGGCCCCCACCCCCTGTTCAGTCCCTGCCCTGGCTGCTTTCCACTCCAGCAACCCTGAAGTTGCCAGGGCTCCTGGGCTCGGCCCCGGACCCACTTCTCTTTCCTACTGCAAGCTTCTGTAGCCTCTCTGCTCCTAGGCCGTGACAGACAGCTTTCAGCTGACCCCAGTGACTCCCCAGTGCCTGGGATCCCCCTCTGTGCAGTCCCCACCCCTTGAGTGCAGGTTGAAGCTACCAGCCCCGTTCTCACCGAATAAGGCAGAAGCCACCAGAGCATCACTCCCTTACAGAAGGATCTGCCATCCGTGTCACCCATATTCTCTTGTACAAAAGGAGGCCATTGTCTCCGTCAGGGCCACCCCATGTAGCAGAGACTAGGGAGGTCTCAGGTCAGCAGCCTGCAGGGGCTCCAGGACCCCGTACAGCGGACATGTGAGTGGGTCTGAATCAGATCCCCAGAGCAAGGCCTTGAAAGGTGTGTGGGCTAGCTGGCAGCTCTCAGCCTGGGAAGGACTCTGAGCAGAGCCCCCAGCTATACCACATAGGGACAAAGCCACGTAATGTGCATGGTTGGTAAGTTGCTGCATTGGGGGGCGATTTCTTACACAGCAGTGGTAACTGATACACATAACCTTTGCTGCCATCTTCACACAGAACTCCCCTAGTGCAGCTCCTGTCTGGCTCTCTCCCCTGGCCTCTGTGGCTGAGGCACCCTCACTCTACCACCTCAGCAGCTCTTCCCAGTCCCCCTTGCCAGCTTCCACTCCATGCTGTGGGTCCCAGGCTTGTGCCAGGTGTGCCTCCCCTCCCCAGGCACCTGGCCCCTGCAGCTCTAAATAGAAGCAACGGTCCTCTGGCTTCCATCTCCACCTACAACCTGGACCACTCTCAGGAGTTCCAGACACATTTTCCACTGGCCACTTGGCTCAAACCCCACCTGCCTGTCCCACATCCCCATCTTCTTGGCGACATCTTCCCCCACCAAGGTGTCACCGCGTTGTCCCCCTCCCCCTCAAACATCACCACCATCGAGCCTGGACTCCGCACCTCCAAGGTGACTCCCTCCACTGCCCACTGGTACTTGCCTGGCCCCCTCTCCCTCCTGCCTGTTCTCCCACCGCATCTTCGCCCGCGGCCCACGCTCCACAGCTAGATCCTGTCCCTTCCCTGACACAGCCCCAGTCTGCCCAGACCCCTAAAGCCAAATCTCCACTCCTCCACGGGATGTAAAGCCCGCCTGACAGCTGACTCCTCACCACCGGCAACCCGCCTCCCAACCCACTAGGACTAACTCCGACTCTAAGGATCCGAGCTGCTACGCCCTCTGGGATCCACGGCTCACACAAAAGCAGCCCACAGTGGTGACTGGGAATATCTGTCTCTTTTTATTCTTTAATTCCCGGGTCCATGACTATGTACTTCCTGCACATAGCAGGTGCTCAACAAATGCATTAAATGTAAGGCAAGGGTCTTCCCAGTGCCAAGCTCTGAGATCTCCTTGTGGCCATGTCTGATCTGCAGGTGCTGTGACCACATCATGCAAAGTGAGAGTGTAGGGAGCACTGGGCTTTGAACCCAGGGCCTTTGCACTGAGCTACACCCCAGTCCTCTTCTCTATCTTGAGACAGGGTCAGGCTAAGCCTCTGAATTCCCCAGGCTGGGCTCCAACTTGTGATCCACTTTTAACCTTTTACATATTAGCATTACATATTACATTTTAACCTTTTACATATTAGCCACCTCTGTGCCTTGTGAGGAAAAGGTGAGGGAAAGCAGCTACTTGATTTAAAAATAATAATCATCGCTGCAGGCAGATTACCGAAATATTGCAGAGGAACAAAAACACCGTGATGTTCCTCAGGACTCTTCTCTTGGCGCTGCCGGGAAAGAACGGGACTCCTAGGGCCGAGCTCCAGGCCCCTTTCCCTCGCCTCTCCTCTTCCTCCTGCTCCTCTTTGCCAAGGCCTGGCTGCCGGCCCAGACTCCCCTTGACGGCTGGCTGCACGAGCTGATCCTGGGGAGCTGTGTCCCGGGCCACCCCTGCGTCCCCAAAGTGCAAGGAGGCCATGGAGGCGGCCCGGTTGTAGACGGTGACCACGCGCAGGGTGCACACGTCTTCCGGGAGGCCCTCGGGCTCGCGGTGCGCTGATTCGATGATGAACAGGTTCTGGATATACTTCTCCGCGATCGCCAGCACCGAGTAGGGCAGGTTGTACCAGGTGTAGGGCGGCCGGGTGTCGGCGCAGGCGATGGCCAGTATAGAGCCCCAGGACAGGAGCCAGGAGCCGGAAGCCGCGCCCACCAGGAGGTCAGTGTCCAACTTGCGCGCAGGGTTTTTGGACTCATCCAGCGACTTCTCATCGACCCTGTAGATGCGGACGCCCAGCAGCCCCGCGGCGCCCATGAGCAGCAGCAGGGCGATGGCATACAGGTAGAACATGGCCAGCGCCGCCTCGCTCTTGGCCTTGGAGCGCCCGATGTGCACCAGGTACACGGCCACCACGCCCAGGGTGGCAGCCAGCGCGACCAGGCCCAGCGCGGAGCCCGCCAGGACGCCGTGGAGCCGCAGCCCAGCATGCCGGGGCCGCGCGCCGTCCACACTGCGCCCGATGTTCTTCCAGAGCACGAAGAGCATGGTGGACGCCAGGATCTGGTACTCGATGGTGAAGGGGTACAGGTAGTACATGCCTTGCGCCAGGGCTGCGCACAGGTGCTCAGGCGAGCAGTTGCATGGCGGAGAGTGGTCATCCAGCTCTAGGCGACATATGAGGTCAGCGGGGAGGGGGGTCACCGGGGAGAGGTCACGAGGGACGAGGGAGGCAGGGTGGCCAGGGATATGGGGGAGCCGGAGGTCATAGGGGAGTGAGTCTTGGGGAGCAGGGGTCATCACTGGAGGGGCTGGGAGACCTGAGGGCTCATGGGGGGAGTCATGCAGGAGCTCATCATGTGGGGGGTCAGTCGGGGAGGTTGGGGGGCCATGGAAGAGGGGTCATGGGAGAGGAGTTGCACCAGCAACAGGAGTTAGAAAAGCTCCAGGAAATCGCTGTCACCGGGGCTTGCTGTGTGACTGTCCCACTGGAGTGAGGGCTTCACGCCCCGCCTAGCATCATGCTCAGTGCCACAGCTATGGAGAGCCAGGATCCCAAGGGTTGCCCTCAAACAAATCCTATTCATCCAAACTTCAGAATCTAGTGCTGCCATTCTAGCTGACACTGTAGAACCGCACTTCCTGCCCTGTGAAGGTGTTTGGAAGGTGCCATTGAACTGTAAAAGCAGGACAGAGCCGGCCTCTGCTTTATAAACAAGAAAATCAGGAAGAGGTGATCAAGGAGACAATCAGGAAGGACTCAGGCTAGAACGAGACAGTAGCTCTCTCTGGGTGGGAAGCCAGAGGTGAGGTGTATTTTCTTTAGATTTTGCATCCCTGTATCACCTAAATTTTGTGAATATGATTTGTGCATCTGATTTTTTTAGTGATTATTTAAAATGCTCCCTTCTGCTCAGCAAAGACTCCTCTGAAAGCTCCATGGCCAGCCAGTGTGGCAGAGGCATAAATTGTCACTACCTGAAACAGAATAAGGGTCTCTTCCTGAGTGGGAGAGATCAACAATCAAGGAAGCGCTGGCAATGATACAGATGCAGGGGGTAACCCTAATTTCACCTGTTTTCCATGTGTAGGGACCCAGAAATGGAGTCCAAACATCGGGAAATCTGCGCATGTGTGGGGAAAGGGAGCTTTATGTTCAACAATTTAGAAGTTAAGTGAATTTTGGCACAACCGTACTATGCAATGGCAATTAGAAATCTATAATTAAGCCAAGCATAGCGGTGCATGCCGGTGGTTCCAGCACTCAGGAGGCTGAGACAGAAGGATCACCATGAGTTTGAGGCCAGTCTGAACGACACAATGAAACTTAGTTTCAAAAACAAACAAACAAACAAAAAATCCAGAAATTATAATTACGATGTGTTTTACTGGTAAATATGTATGGTAGTGCACATGCTAATTAGCTTCATTTAGCCATTTACAATGCATATTTATATATTTCAAAACAATGTTATGTGTGAAAAGCACAATTTTGTCCATTTAAAAATAAATATAATCAACCTTGAAAAAAGGTGTGGGTTTTTTGTTTGTTTCTCTTTTTCTGGTACCAGGAATCAAACTCAGGACTTTGCACTTGCCAGGCAAGTGCTGTGCCGCTGAGCTATCTCCCTGGCCCCTAAAAAAAGTGTGTTTTACTGCTAGAGGAAAATAATAATATGGAAACAAGTAAGAATAAATGGTGTATCCAGTATAACTGGATAAACACTTACTGGGTCTTGAAATCAATTTAGAAGGTGGCCACCAATATTTTTCTAGAGAATGGAAATTTAAAAGAACAGAATAGAGGAGAAAAAGGATGGAATCGAACACACTAAAAATTAAAGATCATCTCTGTAGAGGAAGATGAAGTTTCAATGGTGTAAGATTTGTTAGATGTGGTGAGACTAAGTACGACACTTGCACATAGGCAGCGGGGGAGAAGGGGGACATAAACCCTATCGCCTGTCATAAGCTACAGTCCAAAAAGATTGCATAGATGCCGAGTAAACTTAACTATGAGTAAAAACTACATTACAAAAAAAATCACCAAATGTTAAAAATATTAGGCTGCACTGAGGGTAGGTGTTAGTGTGGATTTTTTTTTTTTTTTTTTTTTTTGCACTTTGTCATTGTTTTGGTTTGTAATGCACATGAGCTCCGACAGATCACGTAAGAAGCTGCACGGGAGCATGAATTACCCTTGCTTTTGCAGCATACAATGCAACTTCCATCTCCTAAGCAGTCTCTTTTCCCCACTTCTGACTCCACACAGCCTTTTGCAGAAGACGGAAAGGAATCCGGAGGTTAAAGAAGGTTGAAGCTGTCAAAGTCTACTTCTGTAGATAAATCTAATCTCATCTTTCAACAAAAGGGCCTTGGAGCCGCGCTGCTGGATTCTAATCCTGACTCAATCGCTCGCCTGCTGTGTGACCTCGGCTGCTTACTCACCCTCTCTGGGCATCAGGGGCTTCGTCCACCTAGTGCTGTACAGTTAATGTTGCCCGCTTGCGAGGCAAGAGTCAAATGAGGCACAGACAGGCTTGGCGCTGCGGCCGCTGCACAGCGAGTGCTTCCTGCAAGCTCTGTTTTGTTGCAGTTGTCACTGTCACTACTACTCTGTGAGACAGAAAGTGGGAAGGAGGCCTGAAGACGCAGCGGGGCTGCCCAAGCGCAGCGCTGGCCGAAGAAGTCACAGGACAGCGCATTCCCTGATGTCCTCGTCCCCACCTGGTGGAAGGAGGCTCACAGCTGCCCTCCAGGACCCGCTGTGGTTGCACAGCCGGACTGCAGCACACTGAGGCTGGAGATTATGTTAAAGCCCGGGAGCAGGCGGGCTCAGAGAGGCTGAGCAGCTTGCAGAGGTCACACAGCAAGTACACGATCAGAGCAAGAGCCGAGCACGTACAGTTCCCAGCACGCTTCCCTTCCTGTGCCGCACATGCTCTTCCACCCACACAGTCTCAAACAGGTGTAACACGTTGTAAATGCTCGAGATTTTGAAAGAAAATGTAAAGATTAACACTACCAGCCTACAAGTAGGAACAAGGAAGACTAAAACGGGGCCAGAATTATAAGCCAGGTGCAGTTACATAAAACTTCCAGTGAACGACACCCAGTTAAGTACACCCTACAATTAGACCTCTAGGAGGTTTCAAAGCCATACTGTTAGCAGAAAGCTTTGGAAACAGCCAGCAATCTTCCACAGTGGAGGACAAAGACACTCCGTTCTCTCTCAGGCTGGGCCATGGGAAATGGGCGTGCAAAGGATAGCCTGGGCGCGGCGAGTCCCTGAGTCACGGCAGGACCCTTTCATTACACTCAGCACAGCCGCAGGAGGTGGAGGACCAGGACGGGAGGGCGGGCATGGTCAATAGCAGGGCATCGTCTCCTGGGACCTGCATCTCCCAGGGGCCTGCACTGCCCCTCTCTGTGGTGACTGGGGTCATGGCAGGGGTCTGAGTGCCCTGGCGTGGTGCGGGACGCCCCCTACCTATGGTGACGTTCCCGAAGCCCAGCGTGATCAGCCGCTCCTTGTGCTCATTCAGCTGGTGCTTTGATTCGTTCAGGACGCTGTTGGCCCACAGCAGCAAATTGGTGAACACTGAGTGGATCACTCCAAACCTGGAAAGCACAAGCGTTCAGCGTTTTGTTTTTGTTTTGTTTTGTTGCAGTACTAGGATTTGAACTCAGAGGTTTGCCCTGAGCTGTACCTCTGGCCCCTTTTTCTATTTTGATACAGGGTCTGGCTAAGTCACTAAGTTGCTTGGGATCAGACTTTCGATCCTGCTGCCTGAGCCTTCCGAAGTGGTTAAATTACAGGCATGCACCACCATGCCCACCTAAGGACCCAGTTCTTGAGCAGCCCTGAGAAAACTCTGAGCCCCCTGGGGTGAGACACAGGCATTACACACACACACTCACACACACACACACACACACACACACACCACGATTCTGGCGTCACCTGGTGGCTCAGGCACTGGGTGGGTCTCTGGTGGGGAGGGAGAGTCCCAGTGGATTCCAAAACCACAGAGTCTTGGCATTTGGCCTTAATCTTGAACTTCCCAGCCCTCCAATCATTGTCTACGGGACATCAAAGAAGCTGCATCTTGAAAGCAGAATTCTAGGAAAGAAAATACACTACAGATGAGCAACCAACCCTACAGCCCAACCCCGTTTCCCAGAAGAGAAGAGAGAAGAGAGAACAGTGAAGGGAGATGCCACCAGAAACCTGGACACTAGCTGTTGACTGACCAACCTAGCAATCAGTTCACCCTCCCCTACCCTCCCACCTACCTTCAAAGACACTGAGAAAAGCCAGACACTGTTGCCTTGCTTTCCTTGCAGCTAGACTTGGCCACACTGGCCAATGCAATGTGAGGTGCAGTCTGTGAGGCACTGCTGCTTTTTTTTATGAAATAGATAAGAATGAGAAAATCCTGTTTATGATCTCTATCTCTGTTTTTAACAATCTTCAGTGTAGACATGAAGGCTGGAGCTGTGGCAGCCATCTTGTGACTATGAAGCAATCAGTATGAGATGAAATTCCGACTCTGAGGATGCTAGATTAGAGGCCTATAAACTATCTGCACAGTGCTGACATTGTTGAGCTTCTACAAGTTCACAGGATATTCTGATTAGCCTATGGTCATATACAGAATAAGCTGCCACACTATCGTTTCAAGGGTTAGTAAATACAGGTGCTTTCCAGTCTGACTCCTCTCTCCTTCCCTTACCTCTCTGCCATACTGCCTCCAAACAAAGAAGGTAAAAAGGGAGAGCAGAAAGTAGGGGGACACTGGAATGCGGGAAACATGGGAGATGTGTGTGGAGGAAGACATCGTGTGCACAGGTCCCTGACCACTGCAGATTCGCTTCAGTGTCACTTATGAGCAGTCGCAAGCTGCATTCACCAGGAAAACCTCAGAACAACAGCCATGAGCCTTGCAGGCAGCCAGCGTGCAAACCTAACCCCACCCTCTAACCCTAGCCACTACTCTAACCCAAAGCTCTAACCCTGACCCCACTCCTCTAACCCTCACTCTAACCCTGATGTTCTAACCCTACACCTCTAACCCTAACGCTGAACCTACACCTAACCCTGGCCCTTCCTCCTAACCCTACCCCTAACTCTCTAATCCTAACCCTACAGCGGAAGCAGCACAACTGGGGCCAGGAAGCCATGTGATTTGAGAGAAGCCTCCCTCAGCCTTCCCAGGGAGCTGCTCGCTTTGAAAACTGGGGTGCAGAGATGCAAAGGACACACGCCCCCCACCACAGACTAAGCAAGAGTCAGTCCCTGCGTCTGTTAATGAGCTGCTTCCAGAAGGGCACAACAGAGTCTTCAGCCTGCCCCGCCCCGAGTCTCACCCAGCTTCCCCCACATGCTCCCGCAAGCCACAGGGCAGCACCTTCCCTCCTCTGATCCCAGCCTCCCTGGCAGCTGCCGGCGTCCAGGCACAGCTGGACATAGACAGAAGCTGAGGTCCGAGGCCAGTGTTTACCCACCTGCTCCCCGACGCCCAGCCGCTGCAGATCACAGCCGCCTCCCCCAGCTGTCAGGGGCACAACCTGCAGGGCCTGGGCAACGCACACAGTGCTGCTTGCCCACACCTGGCGGCTTTTCTCTCTCACACAATGCACAGCACCACCCTCTCTCGACTGCTTTCTCCTGGGCCAGGTGGCACCGTCCAACGGAGGGCTGAGACCGGGGTGGTAGCCCTGGTGCTGCTCAAAGCTGAGGCACATCCCACCATGCCTCTCCTTATAACCCCAGGAAAATGTCCTATGAGCCAAGGACAGGGATCATTCCCTTGCAAGGGTCCTCCCCATACTTGGAGCCTACAGCTGAAGATCATCGAGGGCAGGTTTCCACAAGCTGTTTATTTTCTGTGGGGGTGAGATAGGGTCTCACTATGTAACCCCGGCTGACTTCAGATTGTCAGGGATCCTCCTGCCTCAGCCTCCTAAGTGCTGGTATTAGAGGCATGCAGGCATGCACCACCGTGCCTGGTTTCCAGGAGCCGTTTCCAATGGTGATCTGCTTTCCAGCTCTGCTGTGAGAACCACTGTCCTTCTACCTACACCTTTGGAGACAGAAAAGGATCCAAGCCAGCAAAGGGGATTCCTGGCTCGGAGGGGAATCTCCTTGCATGGCAGGAGAGAGGGGTGCTGGCTCAAGCAAGCAGAAGAAAATAGTGCAGTCAAGCGGCAAGTTCAGAAGCCCTCTGTGAAAAAAGGCAGGTTGCAAGCGGCGTCAGGGAGTGGTGGGGACTACAGCTAAGGGAAGGCTAGTCCCTGTTAGCAGGAGCATCTTGAGGCCAGCTCTGGCCACTGGTCATCGTGCATATTTGCAACTGCACATCCTCCACTGTCTGCAGACTTCCGAATCCCAGCTATAAAGGCTGTGCGTGACGTGAAAATGTAACCACCACACCAGGCAAGCAGGACTCAATGAAGCTAACTCCCTATGGAGCCCAAAGGCTCCCTCTCCCATTTTGGAAAGTGGCCCAGGGGAAGAGATAGCCAGGACCCCAGTCACTCACCCAGTAAGGCCGTACAGGGCTGTCCCACTCAGATCCCAGTGACCCATATCTGGGTACATTGGCAGCACCATAATGCAAGACAGATGGGAGCTGCGTGCTGTCATTTTTAACTTTCTAGTGCCCACATTTTAAAAGCAATAAAAAGGGCCAGGCCTGGTGTGACATACCTATAGTCCCAGCATTCTGGAAACCCGAGGCAGGAGGATCCCAAATTCAAGCCCAGCCTGGGCAATGTGGCGAATTAGTGTGAACTTGTCTCAAAATAAAAAATAAACATGGCTGGGGATGTAATGCAGCTCAGTGTGAAGGCCCTGGGTTCAACTCCCAACACCAAAAACAAACAAAAAATAGTAAAAAGGACCAAGTGAAAATAATCATAATAATATCCTGCTTGACCCAATATATCTGCTATGGTATTACAGCAACATATAATCAATGCCAAGGAATATCACTGAAGATTTTCCATCTGTTTTTCATCCAGTGGCCCTATGGGACCAGTGGCCGCTATACCCAACCTAGAAGGTGAGGCCAGGGGCAGCTCCGTCCAGGGAACTGTGCCCAAATGTCCTGAGCAAACAAGTGGCTGAAGTGAAGGGAAAGATGGTGCCTAGCATACTCCGCCAGCTACCAGCGTCACCCCAGTATTGTGGGCAAAGCAGTGGCCAGGTCAATGCCCAGGGCACACAGCTGTGCCAAGCAAGCTGCCTGGCCTCATCTTAGCATCAAGGCTCAGAGCTTCCCTCACCTGCTAAATGGGGTCATGGTCCCATCTACTCTCCCTAGCGGGCCGGGCTATTGCAAGAGAAGACCTCACAGGTAACACGGGTAAAGAAAGTGCTTCTCCACAGGGAAGGTAACACCACAGACTAGGATTCCTGGCCTCCAGCCAGCTGCTTAATGTATGTGTGCTAGGACATTTCTGCCTTTGCTCCAACAATTCCACTTCTAGGAACATAACCCAAGCAAATAACTAGAGGTGTTCAAAATATTTTTGAACACCACCGTTTGAGTGCCTCCTAGGAGAGTAGTAAAGTACACTTCTGGGTGTGTCCCAGTGGGTTACAGAGGGTGATTTTAGGGTGTATATCAGGTCCCTGGTCCCTTGTTCTCTGGCACTGTCCCCCTGCTCTGCTTCCAAACACTATGAACTAAGCAGCTTTGCTCCACCACACTCTTCCACCATGACGCTGCTGCCTTGGAGCCACCCTGCCATGGACAGGCCCCTCTGAAACCACGAGTCAAGTTAAACCTCTCCCTTTAACTGTAGGTGTCAGTATTGTGTCCCAGTAATGGGAAAAGTGAATAATACAGCCCTTCTATGACTGTGTTTGGAAACAGAGCCTTTCAGGAGGTCACCAACATTAAATAACATCATAAGAATAGGGTCCATATGTCCACATATCCAGTATGGCTGGTTTTTACAAGAAGAGAAAGAGATACTGGAGCTCTCTCTCTCTCTCTCTCTCTCTCTATATATATATATATATATATATATATATATATATATATATATATATATATATCTTCCCACCATGTGTGGACACAGTGAGAAGGTGACTCTGAGCAAACTGAAAAGAAAGCCCTCACCCAACACCAACCACGCTGGCACCTTGATCTTGGACTTACAGCTAACATCCTATCTTCCAAAGAGAGCCACCTGGGTCTCCTCTCTTTCTCTGAGGGCACTAACCTCGTTGTGGGCCCCACCCTTAGGACCCATATGGCCCCAATACTTCCCAAAGATCTTCAAACATCATCACACTGGGAGACAGAGCTTCCACTTGTGAGACCGAGGGGCCACAGCATTCAGTCCACCACGAGTGAGTATTAGATTCTACTACAGCCACCAAGTTTCATTAGAGGGAAGAAATATTTTTTTGTTTTGATTGTTTGCAGTACTAGAAGTGGAACCCAGGGCCTTAGCTACAGCTGCATCCCCAACTCTTTCTATTATTTTTATTTTGAGAGGGTCTCCCTAAGTTGCCCAGACTGGCCTCAAACTTTTAATCCTCCTGCCTCAGCCTCCCAGAGTTTTGGGATTACAGGTGTGTATCACCCCACACCAGCTCACGGTACAGTTTTTAAGGAATAACTTTGTGGAGCAGCTGAAGCAGAAGCATAGCCTGAGACAACAGCAGCCAGCGGCATCCTCCAGCTATAACCCGAGGCAGCCTGGAGGAGGGAAGGGAGAGCCAGCAATGCCCCTGCTCACCCCAATCCTGGTGCAGGAAAGCAGACACACCCGGGTAGAACCAGGCCTCCTCTTGTGCTCTAGCACCTGGGACAAGGCTCCCAGCCTGCTGGAACTCCTCAGCCACTCAAGACAGACAAGAACAGTCATCCTCAGCCTCCTCTGTGCAGGTTAAATGTGCTGGTGACAGTATGGAGGCCTTTGTCCTGCTCTGAAGGACAATTAAGTCACCTCCTGTAGTGCTGGGGGTCCTGGACCTCATGTCCAGGGGGACATGAGGGTGGGGGTCCTGCTCCCCACCCTCGGAGGGAGCAGCATGAGTGCACACTTCTGCCCCTCCCTTATTCTCCCCAGCAGGAGGAGGGGCTTCAGGACAAGGCTGGGGTTAAAGGCGTCCCATGCAGATAAGGAGCACCAGCTCCAGCCACAACACCTGTCCACAAATGGAGCTAGAAGACGCCCGGTGCCTGCTGACATGGAGCCTGCTTTGCAAGAGGTTGGAGAAATCTGTTTCTGGTTCCATAACCTATTGAAATTTTCACCCAGTGGTCATACCAAAATCAGTCTTTAAACATCAGCTGTCACCTGAAACAGCAGGAAAGGAGTTTCCTGGTCCTCATGGAGATATGACATGACAGGGATCTTTCTCTAAGCGAATCCTGACCCCTGCCCCTCCATCTAGTCTGGGCTGACCAAGGAAGGCCCTGAGGCAGTGGCCCCTCTCCCAGCCAGCAGGAGGGCTCAGCTTTCTCGGACCCTAGGAGCTGTCTCAGTGTCAACCACTGAGCGAGACATAATCCTGGCTCACGTGTGTTCTACGCAAATACCCAACTCAACGCGCAATGCAACGACCCAGGGATTTTACCTTTCCAGTGTTTTAAAAGACTGGATAATATCCTTCGCATGGCCCCACAGAAAATACACCTGGATGGAAATAAAAGAAGAAAAAGTATTTGAGTGGGAGAACCATCATTATGTCACACAGAGCAACATAAAATGGTTATGATTTTTAAGTGAAAAACCTAAAATAGGAAATTCTGCGCCTTCCACAGGAATAAAGGGAATAAGTAAAAACAACAATAAGTGCTGGTTTCCACTCATATGCTTACACGCACCGTTATTTCTTTTCCAATATTTTCTGTAGGGTTACATTACATTTTTAAAATAAATGCTTTTTTAAAAAGGAACATTGGAGAGGAGAGGGAGGGAAGGGAAAGGAATAAAAAGAAATCCGCTGTAATATGTACATGGAGCCACTCCCCAAGCCGACTGTGAACTGCATGAATTGCAAACATGTACTAATAAAATGGAAAAAAAGAGCCCAGTAGCGCACATAGGCCGGCCTCAAACTCTTGGGCTACGGTGACCCTCCTGCTGCCGCGGCCTCCTAAGTAGCTGGGCTACACACATGACCTGGCTGTAGTACTTCATTCTTTTTGGTGGTCTGGTAAATTAATTGTTTTCTTAATTGTGTTTTTGAATTGTTCATTGCTAGTGTATAGAAATAAAGCTGATTACTGAACACTGATCTTTAAAAAGAAAATTACCACTGGTTGAGCGATCCCACTTCTGCATCTATATCCAAAAGAATTGAAAGCAGAGTCTGAAAAAGACGCTTGCACACTCGTGTTCATAATGGCATTATTCACAGTAGCGAAAAGCTGGTAGCAGCCCAGTGCCTGCCGACAGATGAATGAGGTGCAGCCTAAATGCCCGTCAACAGGGGCATGCATAAAGAAAATGTATGTACACACCATGGAGCACTACTCTGCCATTAAAGAATAAACTCGAGTCATTTGTAGGAAAATGCATGCGCCTTAAGACTATAATGTTTAGTGAAATGAACCAGACCCATGAGCTTAAACATCGCAGGGTTTCTCTAATATGAGAACCCAAAGTATGAATAAAGAGTGAAATAGAATAGATAAAAGGAAGCAAGGAAATAGATCTTTCTCAGATGGGAAAGGGATCAAGAGATGGAGGGAAGGAGGGAGGAGATGGCGGGATGAAAAAAAAAAGGAAGATATGTCATGGATATTCACCAACTCCACCTGAGGGCTGTAAACCTCACGTGCTGCACACTTGCACTAGTAAGTGGAAAAATTGATGAAAGGAGGCAGTTCTGACACTAGGTGCGGCCTGGCGTGGCTGGACTGGGAGGACACCGTGCCGACCAGCCACCAAGGGGCAAGTACGCGGACTGCGCCTACGAGAGCGGCCTAGATAGTTCTGTCACAGAGGCAGGGAGTCAGAGCAGGCCGGGCGGGCGCAGGGTGGGACTTAGCTCTGAGCATGCGTGGAGGTCATGGTTTCACAGCAAGTGAGTGTGCTTAACACTACCGGACTGCACATCTAAAATGGCTAAGACCGTTGACAGTGTGGGTATTTACTACAATGTGTATATACTTATACATATTTTTTTAAATATATTTTTTTTCATCCCAGCACTCAGGAGTCTGAGGCAGGAAGACCTCTGTGAGTTCAACACCAGCATAAACTACGTAGCAAGAATCTGTCTCAAAAAAAAAAAAGAATAATTAATTAATTAAGCTTCTTCCTTTCCCCAGTCATCTTGTGTAGCAAAGGGAAGTGTCTGATAAGCACAGAATGACCAAACGATTGACTTATAAAATGCCTTAAATGAGATAGATAAAGATATTTGACCCACCTACCAGAATAATATTTTAAAAATTCACTTGTCCAGGTCTTCCCTCTGCCTAAAGCCTTCAAAGGCTCCCCTGCACTCTCAGGACAAGGCCTGAGCTCCTCTGGGGCCATTGGCCTTGACGGACCCATACTGCACGCCAAGTCCTACGCAACCGGCTTCCCTCCACCACTGCCTGTCGGCCTCACTGTCCCAGGAAGTGGAGCTGTGAGGGTCCCCGGCACACGAAGCAGAGCCAAGGAGGTGCAGGAACTTGCTTACAGGGCCACTGTCGGTCCAAGCCCAGCAGAGTTGGACCAGGTGACCAAGGTCCATGGTTCCAGGCCGCCCCACCTCCCCGCCCCCTCACACGAGAAATCTGCGTGACCCGTGACGTCCCCTTTCGGTGCTCTCTGACCTGCACCCGTCTTCCCATCTCTGCCAGCTCAGGACCCTTCCCCAAAGATGCCAGCCCTCACCCCAAGTTGGTGGGGGGCCTCCTTTTGGGGTGCCTCCTCTGAGTGTCTTCCCTCATACCCCACGCCCTGAGCTGCACTGTCCCATCTTTGTGTAACTGCCCCCACCTGACGCTACATGGGCCCAGGCCATGGCTTTCCACCCCGCACTCCCAGCACTGGGAACAAAGTCTGGCAGGTATCTAAGGATGGGATGAATCAGTGAATGAGTGAGTGAGTGAGTGAGTGAATGTGTGCCTGGCTCACGGTGGCTTTCCACACTGTCACACAGGACTCTGCCATCTGCAGGGTCTTGTCCCTGGAATGAACAACCAGTTAACTCCAGAGTCATCCCCTTGGGCTGCTGCCACAAAGTAGCACATGCAGCAGGAGTTCATCCCACAGGGCTGGAGGCCACAGGTCCTACAGGAAGGTGCTGGCAGGGCCAGTTCCTCCGGGGCCTCTCCTTGGCGGGTGGACTTTGACCTCGCCTGTGTCCTCGCGTTGTCGTCCCTCTGTGTGTGTCTGTGTCCCGATCTCCACTCTCGTGAGGACAGCAGGCATGCTGGGTCAGGGCCCACCCTCCGACCTCACTTACCCTCACATTTCTCCAGAAGGCCCTGCGTCCCCAGCTGCATCTGAGGGAGGCATCAGGGATGAGGGTTCCACTTGCCAGAGTGAGATTCAACCCAAAACTTTCAGCCTCAAGGCAGCCCTTTAAGGAGCCCCCTGAAGAACTCCTTTTTTTTTTTTTTTTTTTTTGTATCAGGAATCGAACTCAGGACCTTGTGCTTGCCAGGCAGGCGCTGTGCCGCTAAGCTATATCCCCAGCCCAGCCTGACAAACTCCTGACGCAGGCCTCCATCTCACACTGAGCTCACTGTCCCCACCCCCGCTACCCCTCTGGCCAGTCCTGCCCTGCCAGAGTCACCACACGGGCATGCCTGCTCCCCAAAGACATCTGCAAGCCATCAGCGCAGTCACCAGCTCAGCCGGTGCACACACTGGGCATGGCTTGGAGAAAGACAGCGTTTGGCAATGCTTCCTTTCCCTTGCCAGAGGTGGAAATTATTTCTGAAGGACACTTTCAGGCTGGGAGTCCAGAAATACATGAGCCAGGACAACGCCACCGGTCCAAGTTCATGGCCTTCCCAGGCAACTAGGAGGACGAAGACACCATCTTTGCATGTTGGCCTCACCTGAAGGGAGCCACTCATCTTCCCTGACATCCAACTTCCTCCTTAGAAAAAAGTGACGCTGAATCTGGACCACTTGGTGGGCCTCGAGGATGCTCTGCAAAGGGACAGGAGCCAGGCACAGAAAGACACCGCACCCTCCACTCCGAGGCAGATCAGAAACCAAGAAATGAAACTCGTAGCAGTAGGGATGGGCAGGACATGGCGGAGGGGACGGGAAGGAGCTGCACCGGTTCCAGACTGCAAACAGGATGTGGAGCGGGGGGCATTAGAGATCGGACACACAGCCCGGGCACTGTGGTTCCTGACCCAGCTGGAAATGTGTGGAGAGACTGACTGAGGTGCTCGTTCCACAAAAGAAAAAGAAAAAGAAAGGAAGTGAGGGAAGAGAAATGGAGAGCTATGAAAGAGCTGATGCGGTCATTTACCTGACCATAGAGATCACTGCGTGGGGGGACGGGTATCAAAACATCATGCTCTACGCCTTAAATATACAAGAAAAATTAAAAAATGAGAGTGATGATCCAACACTCGTTCTTTTCACATATATTTTTATTAATGGACACAGTTGCACACATTTATGTAGCACAGTGCAACATTTCATTTCAAGTACACAACACGCAATGACCAGATCAGGGTAACGGGCCACCTCAGATCTCTTTGTTGGGAGCACTCAGAATTTTCTCTGGTAGCTATTTTTAAATACATAATTAGGGCTGGGGAAATAGCTCCACAGCACAGCGCCAGCCCGGCAAGCGCAAGGTCCTCAGCTCGATTCCCAGTACCAAAAAAAATTAAAAACCTAAATAAACACATATTAATTGACACAACCAGGGCTCCCCTGCTGGGCCATGGAACCTCAGAATTATTCCTCCCACCCAGCTGCCCCCTCTACCCATTAACCACCCCCTGCAACCTCCCTCCCTCACCCCTTCCCAGGCCCCAGTAGCTACAATTCTACTCTCCACCGCTATGAGATCCAGCTGAGAACATGAGACAACTGTCTTTCTGTGCCTGACTTATTCCACTTAACACAGTGTCCTCCAGTTTCATCTATGCTGCTGCCGAAGACAGGACTTCTGTCTTTGTTTGATAGAATAACATTCCATTATGTTGACATACCACATTCTCTTTACCCTTTCATCCATCAATGGACACCTCGGTTGATTCTATACCTTGGCTATTGTGAAGAGTCAACCCCTGTTCTTGTAGAACTGTTGGAAGGATTTTACAAAAAAGATAAATGCAAACCACTTGGCATATCCTAAAGTGCTACAGAAATATTGATCATTGTAACTCTCATAACTGTTACAAGGAATTTCTGCTAAGGCTGATGCTACATCAGGACCCATCTAAGATTTTGGGGTTTGTTGTGTTTTGTTTTTTGTTTTTTTTATTTTTTTTGGTGTTTTTGAGACAGAGTATTGCTACATAGTCCAGGCTAGACTTGAACTTGTTGTGTAGCCCAGGTTGGCCTCAAATTTCCAGGGATCCTCCTGCCCCTCCTGAGTTCTGGGGTTATAGGTATGTACCACCATGACTGACTTTCCTAACATTTTTTTCAACCATGAGATTTTTCTGGCTCTAAGCTATGCTTTTTATATTATATCTGTCAAATATTTATTTCTTAGGCACCCCAGGTTCATGAATGGTGAGAAAAAGATTTTAATCTACAACTGAGCAAACAAAAAATGTGTCTCAGTGATCCAGGGGAGTGACTGTCTTGGCCCCAGGTTCCTCTGGGAAGTGATGAAAATGTTCTTTAAAAAAAAAGAAAAAGATATTCTTAAATTGATGGTAGGAGTGGGGTGTGGTGGTGCATGTCTGTAATCCCAGCACTCTGGGAGGCTGAGACAGAAGATGGCAAGTTTAAGCCCAGCTTGGGCAACATAGCAACTTAGAGAACCCCTGTCTCAAAATATAAAATAAAAAGGGAGGTAAGGATGTAGTTTAGTGCAAATGCTCAAGCTTCAAGTCTTAATGCTACCAAAAGAAAAAAAAAAAAATCCAGTAGAGTTGACTGCACAATTATCGATAGACCAAGCCATTACACTAAACGCTTAAAATGGGTGAATTACAGGACATGTGTATTGTATCTCAATAAAACTGTTTGTACTTAGAAAATAAAATCCCCCAAGCCTTTCCTGGGAGCTTTGGCTTGGCAGGGTGCCCTGCCTCTCTATCTTTCTGGTTTCTGCTTCACAGGATCCCTGCAAAGAAAGCCAGGGTACACAGTCCTGTTTCACAGTGGGGGCAGCTGCAGGACTGAACCCCAGGAATGGAGCCCAGGTCACCCCAGGACTTGCGCAGCCCCTGTTGTCACAGGTTTGTATGCATCTTGGGACAGACTTTACAGAACAAAGATAGAGGGAGGAGGCATCCGAAGGTTACCTGCAGGAGAGTGTGCACTGCATGGGTGACAGGGAACACTCCTTCCGTGGCTGACAGACACTCGGAAAATCCAATGAAGTAGCCCACTTTGAAGCATCCCAGGATGATGGTAATGACTGCAAACAGGGTGACACTGCCTGAGAGGGGGACACACAAACACGTGTCAATATGCATGGACCTCAGGTCAGAAGAAATTGTAATAAGCCCTTGTATATGTGGTCAAATGAATTTCGCAAGGGTGGCAAGACTACCTGATGGTTTATGACAGAATTTTTTAAAATAGGTGCTGGAAGAACTGGATATCCATGTGCAAAAATATGAAGTTGGGCCAGCCATGGCAGCGCACGCCTGTACTCCTAGCACCCGAGAAACTCAGGCAGGAGGATTGCTGTGAGTTTAAGGCCAGCCTGGGCTACATAGTGAGTTCAAGACCAGCATGAACTCCACAGCAAGACCCTATCTCAAGTAAATAAGTATGTACATAAATATCTACATAAATAAAAAGTAAATAAAGTTGAGTCCTTATGCTATATACAGAAATTAAATCAAATGGATCAAAGATCTAAATAGCAAATATAAAAGTACAAGACTATTAGAAAAAAATGTAGGGAAAACTTCACGATGTTGGACTAGGCAATGATTTCTTGGCTATAACAACAAAAGCTCAAGAAAAAAAGTAAAAATAGATAAATTGAAAAATATCAAAATGAGAAATTCTGTGTATCACGAACGCTATCACCTGAGTAAAAAGACATTCCACAGAATGGGAGAAAATATCTGCAAATTAAATCCAGGGTGAATCATCAAAATCCATAATATATAAAGACACCTATAATTCAATAACAAAATTAAAAATAAGCAGAGGGTTGAGCGGGCACTTCTCTGAAGATAGAAGACAGCTAACAAGTACATAGAAAACACTCCACATCAGGAGTCAAGGGAGAAATGCGAGTCAGAACTACGAAATCCCACCACGCACCCAGTAGGACTGCTACTATTTTTAAAAATGCTGCTAAGGACGTGCAGAGAGTGGGATCTTTGTGCACTGCTGGTGAGAGGGTAAAATGATATGGCCACTATGGAAAACAGTATGGAAGCTCCTCAAAAAAATTAAAAATACACTTACTCTATGAATCAACCATTCCACTTCTGGGCATACACCCGAAAGAACTGAAGCAGGGACACCTAGTTTCATATCATAGCTGCGTCATGTCACAGCAAACCAAGCGTCCACTGATAGTCGGATGAATAAAGAAAATGAAGCCTACGCATACGGAGGAAATTCTAACACATTCCACCACGTGCCTGGACCTCAGGGACACTGCGCTCAGCGACGGAAACAAGTCACAGGACAAGTACCATAGGATCGCACTTCTGTGAGGCAGGAAGGGCGGTCAGATTCAGGGAGCGAGAGCAGAAGGGGATCCAGGGACGGGGTCGGGCAGGGAGCTAATGTTTAATGGGGGGCTGGTTTCCACTTTGCAAGATGCAATGAGACAGAGAGGGGGCAGGACAATGTACACGGGCTTACCGCCACTGACCTGCGCGCTGGAAAATAATCAAGTTGGGAAATTTCACGCTGTGTATATTTTACCACGATGAGGAAGTTGTAAATGTATTAACAAAACAAGTTCTAATATTAGGCTGAGAAGCTAAAACTAGGAGACAGACATTGTTCCTTGCTCATCTTTGTACCCTCGTGCATATCCTGGGTGTGACAAATGACATCCACACCTGGCCCTCCACAGGGCACCCATCGCAGGATGCCACGGATGCCCAACTCTGAGGGCGCCCAGATCCCTGTTAGAACCTGGTGTAGTATTTGCTTAGAACCTGCACACGTCCCCCTGTGTATCTTAGATCGTCCCTAGATTACCCATACGACCTTATACAATGTAAATGTTATGCAAACAGTTGCTGTGCTGAGTTGGTTACGGAATAAAGATGGGGAAGATCTGCACAGGCTCAGTGTAGATGCGCTGTTCTTCCCGCTGCTCTCAACCCGCAGCTGGCTGAACCCGTGGGTGTGGAGGGCACTGACACAGCACCAGCTGCATCGTGGAAGCCTGGTTCTGACCGACCCAGTAACTACAAACAAACCACAAATATGCATATGGAAAAGCCTAGGAAGGAATATACAAAATGCATTTAAGAAACACCTGTGGCAAGGGAAGAATGAGTGAGAAAAAAGCAGCGTGAGGGGCGGGCAGGTGGTCAGTGTCACCGCTCCTCAGCCATCCCGGGTCAGCAGTGCTGGCACGTCTCTCCCCAGAACATGGAACAAGATCCTGTGAGCCGCGCACTAGGGTGAGGACCGGGGACCAGGGCAGGAGTTACTCGAGCGATCGCATTACAGCCCCCGGGGACGCCCGCAGTGACAACAATGCAATCGCCTGGCTCCTTTCCATGGCTTACAGCCTGACACAAACAACCCTAAGTCACATTTCTGTAAATCCTGGAAAAACCCTGATGAAATCAGAAACTCTGTAAGAATGGAGATTCGATCCCAGTGCTTTGAAATGGTTTGACAAATACAAGGTTCATTTTGACTTTAAGAAAACAAAAGAAGAAGAAGGGCAACAAGATGAGGAGACACAGGATGGCTGGAGGCGGGAACCTAGTCCTGGAGCCACAGGGTCCCGGCACTTGGATATGTGACTTCCTACAAGTCACTGCCTTGCCCTCCGCCTCCGTCTCCCTCTGATGAACTGAGGACAATCCACAGCAGTGTGCCTGGCAGAACTGTGAAAACGCACATGGCGGCTTCCACCCCTACCCCGTGTTTCTGATTCAGCAGGGCTGGAGCAGGGCCCCAAATTTGCATCGCAGGTGCGGCTGATGTGGTTGGTCCAGGACTCCACAATGGTCTAGAAGAGCTCTGTGGCTGATGTCCCATAATATGATGATATAATGATCTTGTACACCTTCTTATCTTCCTGATGCTCCCTTCCTCCCATGGACTCATTCACCCATTTATATCTACAACAAATAGTTGGGGAGTCCTCCTGATACAGTCTGGACAGGGTTTGATTGCCACTCCCGAAATTTCATGCAGTGGAAGCTTAGACTTCAGTGTGGTGAGGTTGAAAGGCTGTGGCACCTTTAAGAGGTGGGGCCTAATGGAAGGATTAGGTCACAGGGGCGTGGCCTCAGTGGGATTAGAGTAGGTCTCTGGGATACTGGTCAGTTCTCTCAAGAGAGCAGATTATTACAAAGCAAGGCCACCGAGACCACCGCAGGTGCTTGACCCCTCCTCCACCCAGCTGGTTCCCTTTCCACTGCTCTGCCAGGTTATGTCACAGCCAACCAGCCAGATGGCCCTCACCCAGATGCTCCCACAGGGCAGTAGTATGTAGAATGGCACAGGAAGCTACCCAGCTTCCAATCCTATCTGCCACTTAGTTGATGACCTTGGGCAATTACTTAACTTCCCCATGCCTCAGTTTCCTCATCTGTAAAATGGGCATGATGGTGGTCAGGCCTATCTCCTAGGGGTGTAGAAGAGTTTAAATGGGTCATCACAGACAAATTGCCTGGGATGGTGTCCTGCACCTAGAAAGTTCTACAAACAGGATGTCTGCATTACTGTCATCTCATCACTCAACCCCAAAGAAAAGCTTAATGAGTTAGAACCAATCAGAAGTAGGCCAGCCACACTGAGAATAACCCAGGAGCTGCCTAGGGTACCATCCATTGTTGGCAGAAGGAAAACCCTTCATCTGTGTGGGGCCCCTGGTCCCTCTCAGGAGCTCTTAGAGGTGGGGGACCCCACAGCTGCTCCGCATCTCGCCCATGCAGATGCGCTTCCTGGGAACCCTTCCAGCAACCCCCAGAGTCCAGGAGAGGCCACGGTCTCTCCTTGTGTGCCCTTCATGCAAGGAAGTTCTTCCTTCTGCCAAGCTGCACCCAGAGCTGTCACCGTGTCCCTAGAGCTCCTGCCCTCTGTCAGCCACTCATCTGCACTCATCCAGCCATCGCTTGACTTGGTCGCTTGCTCCACAGTGTCAGGCCCTGCTCAGAGCCTGGGACCCGGGGTGTGCATTCCCAAAGCATCCTGGCCTGCCGGCGCCCACGATCTGGTGAGCCGAACCACCAGGGACTGGATGACACGATCCCACCTCGTGAGTGCTGAGAGGAAAATGGGCGACTTCTAGAACAGGCAACCCAGAGCCATACCTGAGCTAAGGTATCAGAAAAGGCTTCCCGGTGACGGTCTTTTGCCAAATGTCAAAGCATGCCCCACAGCGCTCGTGCCCTCTCTTTCTCTCTTTCTCTCTCTCTCTCTCTCTCTTTCTCTCTCTCTCTTTCTCTCTCTCTCCCTCTCCCATGGTCCTGGGGATTAAACCCAGGACCTTTGTACTCAGCTACATTCTTACTACTTAAAAATATATATATATTTTTAAACAGGTCTCACTAAGTTGACAGGACTTGAATTGAGATCCTCCTGCCCCAGCCTCCCACAGTGCTGGGATTGCAGGTGTGTGCTACCAGGCCTGGTCACATCCTTCTCTTTCCTGGACTGGACACCCTTTCCTTCCTCCTGTGAGCACTCTGCTAAGATACCCACAAGACATCGAGGAGGATGTTCCCCTCCACATACTGCCTGACAAGGCCAAACTGCACCCACACTTTTGACATCCATGCCCTCTGGTTGCTGTTGAAATCCTGATGTTATGTTTATCTTCTCTGTTAGACCAGGAATCCCACGCAAAAGAGAAACTGCATGCAGTTAGTGAGACTCTCACAGCAGCCACAGGACGGTGCGGGGGATCCCCTCCCTGTCCTGAGCGAATTTCCTCTGCTCCGGAACCACGCTGCGCCACGCTCCCACTCGGCCGTCTTCCCTCTGCTTGTTGCTATCACTGTTTCTGACATCGAGGGCCGCTTTTCTGAGAGCACACCCGCTCCAAGTTCACTTGATCCTAACAGATCTCTCGGCCCCTTGTCGGACTCCTTTCACACTCAGGATCCCCCCAGCAGGCAGAGCGGCCACTCTGAAACGCAAACACCACCCCATCACTCTCTCCCTTTAAAACTTTCCATGGCTCCCTATGGCCCACTGGACAAAGCCTGCCGTGAGAGTTCTACGGAAGGCAGACCTCACCCATGTCCCTGAACTCCCATCCAGTGCTCCTGAGGACCTGTTCCTCATCCCCAGATCCTCACCTCCAGGCTCCTCACCTGTCCACAGCCCAAGCGTCACACTAGTGGCCCATTAATACCCTGCACTAACGTTCCTCCTCCTGTGCGCCGGAGCGGTGCTAACACTGTGTGCAAACAAGTTCATGGAGCCTCATTGTCCTGTTTCACAGATGAGGAAACTGAGGCAGAGAAGCACAACTCCGTGCCTTGCCCCTCCCTGTCCGCACAGTCTCCACCCTCCCTGCCCTCTGCCCTGGGCCAGGCCCCATCAGCCTTCCCTGCCCAGGGCCCAGCAGGTCCTGTGGGTGCTTACCCCCAGGCTGTTGTGCAGAAGTGAACCTAAGGCCACGGCCCAGCCACAGGTCCCTCTGTACCAGGCTTGGCTCCCTCCCTGCTGCCCTCTGCCAGGGTCAAAGGTCGTGCTCCCAGAGTGGAAACCAAGGCAAGATGGAAGCCAGGGGTGAAGCGGGGCCCTCTCCCAGGACCCCTTGCAGCTGCCTCCCTCACAGGCAGACTTCAAGAGCACCTACTCCCCAAGAACTGTGATAGCAGACACCGCATTGCAAAGGGAAAGAGGCAATGGACTGCATGGTTCCCTTCATAGGAAGAGTCCAGGCAGGCTCCTCCACGGAGCCAGAGAGCAGAGCTGTGGGCTGGGGGCTCTGGGAGACAATCCTGCTAGCACTGGGGTCTCTTCCACAACTGGTGAGAAGAGTGGGGTTGCACGGATCTATGCACGTACCAAAACCCACTGCCTGCACACTTCAGATCAAGCTGGGCCATGCAGCTTGAGCTCGCCACGCCAGCGAAGGGACAGAAGCCTGAGGGAACAGCATGCTGCAGGAGAGCGCGGCTGTGCAGAGAGGGTGGGCACCCCGTTCCGGGGGGGAAACAGCGCAAAGCCCCGGGCTCACCGATGCTCACAGACGCGCTGCCTCCGCCTGGAAGTCAGCAGGGACCCGCGCTGACTGCCACCTCCTCCTGCAGCCCAGGGACCCCCCAGGGTGCTTTGCAGCCCCTCAGCCAGCTGTGCGCTGTCCTCACAGCAAACAGTACTGGGTCAGTGCTTCCAATGAGCCCCACATTCCAAATACACTCACTAAAGGCAGCTGTGATTCTTCTCGTTGTTCCACAGCTTTCCTTTAAGAACACTTCTTTCTCCCCTTGCGATAGGGCAGAAGCAATTCTTTTAAAAGATGCTCGACTTTGCCACATTATCTTTCTTTTTGAGACAGGGTCTCGCTATGTAGCCGAGGCCAGCCTTGAACTCACGGCGATCCTCCTTCCCCAGCCTTCCAAGTGCTGGGATTGCGGGTGCGCACCACCACACCCCGCTGACACACCATGTTTTTGGTAGGAGAAGCTGGGGCATTTATTAAGGGGACATTTAATTAATGCTCCACTGAGCGTCACACACCATACACACTGTGAGATGACCAGGCATCTGTCACCTCTGAAATAACTCAACCCTTCACTTAGCAAACAGGACAGGCTAAGGTAATAATCCATCCTTGCTACCAACTTTTTTTTTTAAGTAGGTCAATTTTTTTTTGTCCCAAAGAAAGTCTTCGCTCTGCACATCCAGGAGGAAGAACAATCTTTCCTGCTTAGAGAGGCCTTGAAATCCGCACTGCAACTCAAGAGACTTTCTCTAGAAACCTTTGCTCCTGGCTGTCATTCTGCAGGTGGCTTTTCTAGAACATGAGACTGAGCAGACTTTCCAGAAGCACCAGGCACCGCCTTTCCCTGGGCCAAACCCGTCTTTCTGGCTGTGATTCCCAGGGAAGCTGGGTTTCTGTGGGGCTCCAGCACTTCCCCTGGGCAGCTCGCTCTCCCTTGGACATCCTAACGGCCTCTGGCCTCTCCCTGAAGCCACAGCCACCCTGCGACAGCCAGGCAAGCACGCAGCTGTCTCTCCTTCTCCAGCTCCTCTCCAAGAGGTGGCTCGAGCTCATCTTATCCAGGAGGAAATGTGGACTCAGAAAGCTGACAGTGACAATGCCAAGGCCAGGCTTCAGGACACATCCCATTTCTACAGGGCACTACAGGACAACTTGCAGGGGGTGCGAACAGCTTCTACCACTGCCCCAAGGCTGCCTTCTTCCTCCCCTAGGAAGAGCGGCTGGCTGGACGCATCCGGGGAGAAACCTGCACTGTGTCCCCTCCCTGTCTGTTCTCTGGCTTCGAAGTGTTGGTAAAAGCATGACCCACGGCTCAGAGCTGGCCTGGGAGAGAGCAAGAGGGAGCTGCGTGCGGGGAGTAGGAAGCAGGTGAGGAAGAATGGAGGGAGGAGGGCAGGCAGAGGAGGTGGGAAGGAAGGAAGGGAGCGGCAGAGAAAGGAGCTTCCACTAGCAGAAAGAATAGGTATCGAGCTGGTATGAAACCCTCTCTAGCCTGTAAGTCAAGATACTAAAAAACCCTCAAGGACTTGTTTTGTTCTATCTTTTACAGGATAGGCCCCGGCTTCCAGTTCTTCTCAGAGTCATAAGCCATGAGTCTCCCTAAAACAGTAGTTTACAGAACAGGACTTTGGGCCACCTGGAGCAGTGTCCAGTTTCCCCAAAGGCAGATGAGCCCTCACTGTCCCTGACAGTCACGGAAGCGGACAAGGACAGAAGAGCCCTGAGATCAGTCAGTGCAGCCTGCGCCGTGGAGCCGGTCTGTGGGCCCTGAGCCCAGGACCCCAGGCGCTGAGAGAAGGAGGGACCTGAACCGCTGTGAGCAGAGCACGGGGGCTACAAGCAAGGCCCGGGAGGCCACTCAGACGGTAGCTTCTCCCCGGCCCTTCCAGATCTCCCCTTCCGTCCACCAGCCTCCTGCCTGCCCACTTTGTCCTGAATCACGTGTGTTCCCTTTGGCCTGAATCTGTGTCCCCTTTGGCCTGGATCACCTCCAGATTCCTTTGAAGAGTAGCCGCCCTGACCACCGTGGTCAACGTGTCTGAGCCCCCCATCCCCCGTCACTCACTACTCCACTCACTGTCACCCCACTTTCTCAGCGCCGACCTTGCACCAGGCCCTGTGGCAGCAGCTCCAGGACAGAGAAGAGCTGCACACAGCTCCGCGGGCATCGGCAGCGGTCGAGGGGTTGAGGAGTCACAAGGACAGCGGTGTGCACCCAGGGCACGGCAGGGGGACGGTGTGGTCGGAAATCTTCCCAGGGACGAGGAAGCTTGGAACGCCAGGTTTGGACTGCAGAAAGGCCAAGGGGAGGGTGGAACCGAATTTGCAAAGGCCTGGAGACTGGGACACTCCGAGGCCTCAGAGTCTGGGGACGCTGGGGCACGGGGCGAGGGCAGAAAGGGCCACCGCAGGCCACTTCGACAGGCACGCCCGTAGCACCCCCGGGGCTCTAAGAAGGGAAAGCTGTGCGCGGGTTTGTGTAACTACAGCTCCAAAGATGGGAAGGGAGAGCTGGGCAGCAGCGCACACTCAGCCTTAGGCGAGGAGGAGAAAAGAGACCTCCAGAAAGCGCGCGAGGGAGGCCGAGGCAGGCGGCGGCACCGCACTCACCGCGGAGCCAGCGCGCGCCGGCGTGCGCGTCCTTGGGCCGGATGAGGCGGCGCTGCGCGTAGCTGCGGCCCACGTACCACAGCATCCAGAGCAGCTGCAGGAGCATGAGCGCCGTGAGCAGGCACAGCAGGTCGCGCTTGCCCACGCCCGCCGCGTGCACGGCCCAGGCCAGCAGGAACAGCAGCCCCGCCACGAACACGTTCAGCCCGTACTGGCTGCTCAGCGCCTCGGCCAGCTTCTGCGGGACGCTGCTGCGCGCGCCGCCCCGCCGGGGGCC